TTTTAGATCAGAAGTTAAAAATCTCATTTTATGAAATGATCTTAAAATGACTCAAATATGATACCATTTTAAGCTCATATTTAAATCATTTTAAGATTATAATATGATCATTTTCACTTCGTATCATAAATGAGCCATACATGTCTCATTTCTTGCGGGTATTTAAATAACCGCTCTGTAACAGCAATATCGCTTAATATGTTCAATTTTTAGTTCTGTGATATTTGTTTATATTAGAAGTAGACAAGGAAGGGGATGCAGTAAACTAGATGCTAGCTAACTAATTTCTCTAATAGACTCACACTTGTTGATATTTGCCTATGATTGTTTCTAAATCTGGATTATGTATTTCAAAAAAATCTCTCCACATAAGGCACAAAAAGATTTCATAGTATAAGCTATTAAAAATCACAAAAATCTAACAAATGACAAAATGACGGTTCAGTTTTTGCACTTATAATGTTGTAGACGAGAGAAACAACAAAACAATTATCGTCAGAAAAAGAGTCAACTTTCACAGAAAAAAACTAGAGTAAAAAGAATAAAAAATGATGAGAATGATGATCGAGTTTATCTTATTTTGTTGGTTCATCCTCATAATCCATTTTGTCCTTAAGAAAAACACTAAAGGATAAATTTTCGGCACTTAGCCGTGCTCGCTGCTTCCGTGCAAGATAGGCGGATAGAGAGAAAGCGCTTTCACTCGGTACACTAGTACCGGGAATACACAGATATCGTCTCGCATATTTACATAACAAGGGAAAATTTTCTTGATGAGTTTTCCAAAATTTCATAGATCTTTCGGATGACGGTGATTGTTGTACATTGAATGTAGACGCCAATTTTTTGTACGCTTTTAATTCTTCAACTAACAATGATTGTTTCGCTTTGTCATTGTCTTTAATATGTGCTTCTTGTCCGACAGATGCCAAAAATGCATTAACTGCAGACAGTGGTTTTCGATCGAGTTTGACTGTTGTTGTTGTTATTATATTATTGAAGTTTATTGATGATGGTGATATATCAGATGTTTCATTATTTACGATTGATTTTAATTCACGTTCTATTGATTGTTTTTCCTTGTCCGTCAAGACAGAATATCCAATCGGATCCAAATAGGCAAATAACTAAAATCAAAGTTAAAGAAACGAGTTAGAATCAAGTTTTTTGTGTAACTAGCTTTTCTCAGTCCATACTCTTACTTTAAACGAGGAGGATAGATCGAATTCATTATGAAAATATTCATTAAATTTATTCAATAATAATTTTTTTAACCTTTTTGTTGTACTTCCATCATCTTTCGCGTCTTCAAGATATAATCTGATATAATAGAGAGCAAAATAGATCAAACCAATTGTAGCATATTTACTTCCACTTATCAGTTTTGTGGCTTGATAAAATGGTTGAAGAACATCATGCAGCAACGATAATATATTCCAATCATTAGATGATATTTCTAATTTTTGTAATTTTTTCATTTGTTTACTTTGAATATTCAATCGATGTTTATGTTCAAATAAATTCATGACAACTTGTTTAAGATGTAAAAAACTGTCAATCATATAAAATACGGAATTCCATCTGGTACAAACATCGGACATCAAGATTCGTTTTTTATTACATTTTATACGTTCTTGATCAAAACACGATGTCAATATACTTGATCGTCTAATCATTTTACATAGAGACCGACATTTTTTCAATACACAAATGATATGTTTTTGATCTACTTCTTCCGACTGTTGATAAGAAAAATCGTGAATTAGATTCTTTTCCCAATTATCTGTTATTTCATAATCGTCATTGTCTTCAATATCCGATTGAGCGTCATGCAATAATTCAGCATCTTGCTCTTCTTCCTGTTGCGGTTCGTCTTCAATATTTTCATCTTCATT